ACGATATTTCACTATGCTGATGTTTCCTTTCTCGTTTTCTCTCTCTCTCTCTCTCAATCTCTCCCACTCCCATTCCCATTCCATTCCCATTCCCAATACCATTACCATTACCATTCCCATCCCAATTCCCATTCCCATTCACATTACCGTTACCATTACCATTACCTTTAGCTTTATCTTTACATTTACCTGTACCATTACCATTACCGTTACCATTGCATTACATTTGCCAGTGTCATTACCATTGCCATTACAATTGCCATTATCATTGCCATCGCCATTGCCAGTGTCGTTGCCATTGCCATGGTATTGCCATTGCCAGTAGCCACCCTGTTACCATTACCGTTACCATTACCATTACCATTCCCATTACCATTACCATTCGCCACCACCATTACCATTGCCATTATCATTAGCATTACCAACACAATTGCCATTACCATTACCATTACCGCTGCCATCACCATTACAATTCCCATTCCAATCATCATTGCCATTACCATTACCGTTACCAGTACCATTTCCATTACCATTGCCATTATCTTTCCCACTACCACTACCATTTCCATTCCCGTTCCCGTTCCAATTACTACTACGATTCCCATTCCCATTCCCATTCCCATTACCATTACCATTACCATTACCATTACCATTACCATGGCCATTACCATTGCCATGGCCATTGCTATTGCCATTGCCGTTGCCGTTGCCATTGCCATTCCCATTACCATTGCCAATCGCTACCCCGTTACAATTGCCATAACCATTACCATTACCGTTATCGTCACCATTACCATTCCCAGTACCATTATCATTACCACTGTCATTGCCATTACCATTACCATTGCCATTGCCATTGCCATTCGCCACTACCATTACCATTGCCATTCGCCACTACCATTACCATTACCATTGCCATTGCCATTGCCCTTCGCCACTACCATTACCGTTGCCAGTACCATTACCATTCCGATTAACATTCCCATTCCCAATACCATTACCATTACCATTACCATTACAACTGCCATTGCCATTACCATTGCCATTACCTTTACCTCTACCTTTACATTTACCCTTACCCTTACCATTCCCACTTCCGTTACCACTACCACTGCCATTTCCATGCCCGTTCCTATTCCCATTCACATTCCCATTCCCGTTCCCATTCACATTACCATTGCCATTACCATTGCCATTGCCATTGCCATGGCCATTGCCATTGCCATTCCCATTCCCATTGCCATTGCCATTGCCATTGCCATTGCCATTACCGTTGCCGTTGTCATTGTCATTGCCATTGCCAGTCGCCACCCCGTTACCACTATCATTACCGTTACCATTACAGTACCATTACCATTACCTCTGTCATTACCATTACCATTCGCATGGCCATTGTCATTGCCATTAGCCACTACCATTACCATTGCCAACACCATTTCCATTGCCATTCCCATTATCATGACCATTACCATTACCATTACCATTACCATTATCACTATATTTCCATTACCATTATCTTTACCTCTACCTTTACCTTTACCCTTACCCTTATCATTCCCATTTCCGTTACCACTACCACTACCATTTCCATTCCCGTTCCCGTTTTTATTCCCATTCACATTCCCATTCCCGTTCCCATTCCCGTTGCCATTGCCATTCTCATTACATTTACCATTGTTGTTGCCATTGCCATGGCCATTATCATTGTCATTGACATTGCCAATCTCATTGCCATTGTCATTACCATTACCGTTGCCATTGCCATTGCCATTGCCAATCGCTACCCCCTTACCATTACCATTACCGTTACCATTACCAGTACCATTACCATTGCCATTACCATTACCATTACCATTACCATTACCTCTGTCATTACCATTACCATTACCATCACCATTGCCATTGCCATTCGTCACTACCATTACCATTGCCAGTACCATTTCCACTTCCATTCCCATTACCATGATACTACCGCTGCCATTACCATTAGAATTCCCATTCTCATACCATTACCATTACCATTACCAGTGCCATTACCATTACCACTACCACTATCATTTCCATTCCCGTTCCCGTTCCCATTCCCACTTCCATTTCCATTACCATTACCATTACCATTGCCATTGCCAGTACCATTACCATCACCATTACCATTACCTTTAACTCTACCTTTATCTCTACCCTTGCCATTACCATTACCATTGCCATGGCCATTACCGTTGCCATTGCCATTGTCATTGTCATTGCCATTCCCATTGCCATTGTCATTACCATTACCATTACCGTTACCGTTGCCATTGCCATTGTCATTGCCTCGCTACCCCGTTACCACTATCATTACCGTAACCATTACCAGTACCATTACCAGTACCATTACCATTACCATTACCATTGCCATTGCCATTGCCATTGCCATTCGAGGATTTCAGTAGGAATCATTCAGTGGAGGGTTTCAGTAGGAATCCACATGTGGAGGATTTTGGTAGGAATCATTCAGTGGAGGGTTTCGATAGGAACCCTTCTGTCGAGGATTTTACTGTGAATCCTTCTTATGGGGGCGTCCAATAGGAATCCTTCTAGGGGGGAGGGCAGATGTGGTCACGTCGCATTCCTTTTTTTTTTCTTTTTTTTTTCTACTGGCGCCCCCCCCCCCTCAGAAAAAAAAATGTTGTTTTTTAGGTTTTTCTGTTTTTTCTTTCTGGGGGGTGGGGGGGGAGGCGCCTGGAGAAAAAAAAGGCAGAGAGGTAGCAGGAGGGGGAGAGGGAGGAGGAGGAGGAGGAGGGAGGAGGAGGAGAGGAGGGGGAGGGGGAGGGGGAGGAGGAGGAGGAGGAGGAGGAGGAGGAGGAGGAGGAGGAGGAGGAGGAGGAGGAGGAGGAGGAGGGGGCGGAGGAGGAGGAGGAGGAGGAGGACGACACAGAGCAGAGTTTGCACAGAAACAGTCGCGAACTCAGCGCGAAACCCTCGCGCGCGCGCTTTTGAACCCCTGCGACTCCACATTCCCCCGTTCTCGAGGAGGAGGAGAGGAGAGGAGGAAGAGGAGGAGGAGGCGGAGGAGCAGGAGAGGAAGAGGAGGGGAGGGGTGAGGGGGAGGGGGAGGGCCGAGGGCAATGGGGGAGGGGGAGGGGGGGGGGTTTTGGCGGGAGGAGGAGGGCAGGGGGGGGAGGAGGAGGGCAGGGGGGGGGAGGAGGAGGAGGAAGAGGAGGAGGAGGAGGAGGAGGAGGAGGAGGAGGAGGAGGAGGAGGAGGAGGAGGAGGAAGAGGAGGACCAGTGTAAACCGACAGGACTTGCCTCATTGGAAAACAACTGTTTGAAGATTTCGAAGCATGCCAAGACATTGTTCTCGGTATGCCAACCGCCACGGATGAACCTGACTGTTGCGTCTTGCCAGAACGCCATTCGTGGGATTTAAACTCCGCGAGTAATCGTAACTGTTGCGCCTTCATAATCGTGAATCCTTGAAGCACATTACATCTGGTACGTCGACCAGATTCCGTGAAACTCTTACAAGTGTTTAGCGAGAATGTGCGCGGTGCTAAGGCGAGAGCAACATTTTGAAAAGGAGCCACCCTCAATCCGTGAAGCTCTTGCAAAATTTGGGTAAGAATGTGCGCGCGGCGCTATCGCGAGAGCCAGATCTTGAAAACGACCCGCACTCAATCCGTGAAGCTCTTGCATTTTTGAATACGAATGTGCGCGGCGCTAAGGCGAGAGCCAGATCTTGAAAACCACTCGCACTCAATCCGTGAAACTCTTGCAAATCTTGGGTACGAGTGCGCGCGGCGCTAAGGCGAGAGCCACATTTTGAAAGCCACCCGCCCTCCATCTGTGACGCTGTTGCCAATGTTTTAGCTTCAGGGTCATAGCTGGTGAGGAAGTCTCTGGCAAAACGCCCGGCCCGCCCTCAAAACTGGCTGGCGTCGGGATGCGACAGGGAGAAATTGTGTATCAGGAGAAGGAGTGGAGCAGCCGCAGGAGCCAAGCCAAGGAGAAGGAGGGGGTCCTCCTCCCCCTCCTCCTCCTCCTCCTCCTCCTCCTCCTGCTCCTGCTCCTCCTCCTCCTGCTCCTCCTCCCCCCCTCCCTCCTCCTCCTCCTCCTCCTCCTCCTCCTCCTCGTCCTCCTCCTTCTCCTCCTTCCTCAGGGGGTGCCTCTTCGCGCCGCTCCGGGGGCCCAGGAGGGGCTTGTCGAGCACGCGTGGGGGTGGCCCGTCGCCGGAGGGACCTCTGTCGCGGCCCGCCAGAGGTCTCCCGCTCTCCGATCTGCACGAACGAAATGGGCACGGAAAGCATGGGTACAATGCCCAACAGCGGATCTGGTTCATTCTGAACAGGACTCGATGTCCGCGCCGCCGCGGCCTGTGTCCATTCGAGACAGGAGGCCGCCCGCCCAACAGCGGCCGCTGTTGGTTTGGGACAACATTTGTTGTTGGGCATTGTGCCCATTCTTTCCGTACCCATTTCGGGCGTTCAAATCCGAGAGCGATGCGACAGCAGCGGCTTGCGCTCTTGGGCTTGGCCTCCCGTGCCCCCGCCGCGCACCAAAGGCCACCCTCGCTGACAGCCAAGACGCTGGAACCAGGGCCGCTTTAGGCTCAGGAGGGGCTCGGAGCTTCGGGCCGTTTCTTATAGATTTATGCCGTGGAGCCTGTCTGTGGCCTAGACCCACCGTAGCCAGAAAAGCCCAGTGGTTCCTTATCATGTGTTGTCTATTTATTCTAGCGCGACGACTGTAGGGCCACTCACGTGCGGCCGAACAGATCGCGCCGCCCTGGCCCCAGGAGGCCGGGACTCTCTCCCCAGGGGGCACGTCGTTTTCTTCCGTCCCCGATCCATTCTGGATTGTCTTGGGCCACCCTTCTGGAGCTGGGCCTCCCCCTGGCCACCCTGGCCGCCCAAAAGTCCCTCCATGCGACACGAACCAGCGACGAGAGCGGCGCAGCAGTGCCACAAGACGCCCCGAGATGGCCCCGAGATGGCCGAGGAGCTCCCACGAGGCCTCCCAAGGCGCCAACAGCGGGCCCCGGAGGCCGACCCCTGGGCCTGGCTCTCGCCGCGAGCCCTCTCGGCTCTGGCCGCGCCGGGGCGCCGCGCCGACCGAGCGATGCGCGCGGGCGCGGCCAGCGCGGCAGAGGCCGCGCGCGAGGCTGCCCGCGGCAGCCCCGGCGCGGCCGAGGCGAGCTCCTCCTCCTCCTCCTCCTCCTCCTCCTCCTCCTCCTCCTCCTCCTCCTCCTCCGCGAGGCTGCCCGCGGCAGCCCCAGCGCGGCCGAGGCGAGGCCCGCGGCGGCGCCCTCGACCGGAGCCGTCGGCGCCCTCGGGCGCAGCGCGGCCGCCACGAGCGCCACGCCTGCGGCGTGGCCACCGAAGGACCGGGGTTGGCTGCGTGTGAGAGTGCTCCTTGGCCGGAGTGACCTCCCCAGACCCCCCTCGCGTTGTGAGAAATTCGCGACGGGAGGTTTTCTGCTATTTTCGGTCTCCGGGGGCCCCTACTGGGCCTCGGGGCCATTGTGAAACATCACGACGTCGGGGGTTTGGGTCTGGTGCGGGCACACTGGGGGTCCCAGATGGCCGAAAGGGATGCGGTAGCAGCGGCTTGCGCGCTCTTTTGTTCGCCTCCCCGCGCCCCCCCAAAGCCGCGCACTAGAGGTCACTCTTGCCAAGGGCCACGAGCGAGTAGCCGACAGATGAGGCAAGGAGAGTCGATGGTCGAAGGAGAAGCAACTGCACAAACAGAACCTTTCGGAGTTCGGCGCGGATTTCTTGCATCTGCGCTGGAACCCCCTGGCGGCGCCTCTGGCGCTGCCCCTGGCGCGCTCTGCGCGAACGCGCATCTCAGACCCCCCCGCCTCGTGCAAAAAGCATGGCGATAGTCAGGAGGGAAAGAAACACACAGACACAATTAATCGTCGACTCCCAGGAAAATATGGGAAGTGTGGGGGAAGACAAACACCCAGGAAATATAAAAATATGGGGAATATTTTTATTTGTGTGCATTTATTTGTGGGTCCTGGGGCCCCTTCAATTTTCGGATTCTCGGAACCCTCACCAGGCCCTGGGCCTGCCGAAAACGATCGGGGATGGACCACTGATCCCTGAGGGGCAAGGACGGCCAGAGCAGGGCGAGTCGAGATAACCGTAGTTGGCCATCAGGGGGCCTTTGTCGCCACGGCTGGACGCAGCTGGGACGATTGGTGCGTGTGCACCCCAGGAGGAGTCTGGGGACCGACTTTGAGCTGTCGTTGTCTCAACTCGCCCTACTCCGCGATAGGAGGGGCGAGGCGAAACCACCACCACCATCGCCGCCACCACCGACACCACCGCCGCCGCCGCCACCACCACCGCCACCACCACCACCACTCTTAGCGAGAGGGGGGACCACACCACCAAGAGGACTCCCCGGCGCCTCGCGCTGGTGGCGGAAGTGTCGTCGGCAGCTTGCCAGCCTCGGGGTGCTCTCCAACAGCTGCGCCTCGCCGAGAGCGCTCCCGGGGTGCCCCGATCGCCCCTCTGGGCGGCGGGACGCCCGAGCTGTGGCCCGAAAGCCAGGGGGCAGCGACATGGGGCCGGATTGCCCCAAACACCCTTGCCCCCGAGGAGGGGAGGCATCGACCCCGGGAGGGGAGCCATCGACCCCGAGTCGCTCACCCGCGCGGGATCAGCCCAAACACCATGACTTCTAACCCGCACCAGCGCTCACGGTGGCTGCGCGGCGGTGGTGAGCGCGCGCCTCCTGGCCATTACCGCTTCTCGGCAGCGAGATGCCCTGAGATGCTTGTGCCGTTGGCTCGGCTCGGACGTGCGCCTGCAGTCGGCGGCGGGCCCATGGGGAAAGCGAGAGGGAGCGGGCCTTGCTCGGGAGGCTCGGGAGCCCCCCGCGGCCTTCGGAGAAGTTTTCGATAGGTTTTCCCCGAAGGCGCCGAAGGCTTCTCAGGAGGCGCGAGGGCTTCTGAGAAGTCCCGCCGTCTTCTGAGAAGGCCGTCTCCTTCCCACTTCCCCCTCCCCCCCCCTCCACCTCCCCATCTCCCCCCCCCCATGTAGCAGGCCGTTTTCGGCGCCCGTTTCAAGCAGGTGGGGTTTCCCCCATAGGACGCACCGTTGCAAGCAGTGGCATTCAGCAGAGGTCCAGAGCCAGACTCCCCCCCCCCTTTACGCCCAGTGTCGAACCGCCGAAAAAGAAAAAGCGCCCACGTCCGTGGCGATCTTCGAGCTCGTGGGGCCCTCGCGGGGCCCCAGGACCGTCAGAAATCGACTCGGGATGAGGAGCCGATTCCCCAAGAAGGGGTCCAGATTTCTGGGGGCCCCCGCCCTGTGAAGAAGTCCCGACGTCGGGGGCTTGGGGCTGGACGTGTCCCCTCGGAGGATGGCGCCGCCCTCCGGCTGGTCGTCCGGGAGCACCACGCCTTCGGCATGGCCCACAGGTCGGCAGGGGGAGGGCTCCAGACGAAGAGCTGGCCCAGGGGAGGCGCCCCGGAAGCCAGCGCTCCCCCGGGCGGGACCCACTTGCTCCTCTCATGCCAGGGGAGGCCGATCTGTTTTCCACGAGGGCTCCGTGGGCCCACTCGGGCGCCGCTCTTGTTGGGTGTGTGTGTGCCGGCTCCTCTCCGGGCGCGGGGGCACATCCGCGGCGACCCAGGGCCCCCCCTCGCAGAAGAAGCGGGCCCTGCGGAGGCGAGGCGGTGCTGGCCAGTGGCCCTCTCCCCGGCAGGCTGCCCCGACGTGACTCCGCCTGGGACTTCCTCACGGGCATCGAGGACGACATCGTCGTCCGCAGCGCGGCGTACCGTGGCATGTTGCAGGGCAAGACGCCGGACCGCGGCTCAGTCTCGGTGTGCTCTCCGTGAGCTTACCGGCCACGCCGATTCCACGATACGATGGTCAGCTTCCCCTGCGCTCGCGTCCCCTTCGGACCTTCGGGGGGCGGAGGGAGGGAGGGAGGGGGGTGAGAGGGAGGGACATGCAGGGCTTGCGATCATAGGCGTGGGTTGGTGTAAAAGCTTATGACGTTCACTTCCGATGGGGACGCTCGGGCTTCCCTCCCGCCGCAGTTCCTCTCTCCTGCCCTTCTCCCCATCCGCCCTGCTCAATCCTCCCTCGTTCCCTCTCCCTCCTCCCTACTCCCCTCCTTCCTCCCCCATCCTCCCTCCTCATCCACTCCTCCTCTCCTCCTTCCCCTCCTCCCTCGTCCTTCCTCCCTCCTGCCTCCTTCCTTACCCATCCCCTTCCCTACTTCCGTCGCTGTCTTTCTCGTATTATTGTGATGAGTATGTTATTATTTTCTTCTTCGTCTTCTTCTTCTTCTTCTTCTTCTTCTTCCCCAGCGGGTTGATCGGCGTTCTGCATCCAGCTCGGCTCAGGAGAGCCCCGTGAGCGACGACGTCCCAGGCCGATGCGGACAGAAGGCTGCATCGGCATGCCCGCATCGTCGGGCTGCACTGCCTCAGCTTGGCTGGGTGGGCAGCCCAGCCCGGAGCGGGCAGCCTCTCCCCGTGCCCGCGATGGCCGCCGCGATCGTGCATGGGGCGGCAGGGGGGCGTGCCGAGGCCCCGCGGCCTGGCCCGCTCTCGCCGAGGGGCGACGCGCGGCGCGCCCCCCTCGAGCAGCCCATGTGGATGACGGTGGACGGCCATCGGGGGTGAACAGAACCCCCAGCAGTGACACGTCGATTAGTGAATTGTCCGTTTTCGGTTCTCGAGATGGCGCCGTGGCCGTTATTTTCCAGGCTTCTTGCGCCCGCCAGGTTTTGGCCTCAGGTCGTTTTCACTAAACCACGTTTTACTAAAGGGGGGTCTGTCCATCCCCGAGGCCACCTGCGCGCGCAGCTGCGCCTCACGGGGTTTCACGGGACGCCCGTGCTCGTGGTCGTCCTGCTCTTCCTGCGGCCCTCCGAGGCCGGCCGCGTGCGCACGTGCGACCGCTTCTTCCAGCGCGTGGGCGGCCACGAGAAGGCGGGCCGGGGGCAAGGGTTCAGTTCGAGAGTCGCCATGGGTCTAGGCCTCCCAGATGGGATCGGAGCAGAGCTCGACCCTTTCGACGCAGACGTCGCCGATCGACACCCTTGGGTCCTCCACGGCCCCCAAAACTGTCGGAAGAGTACTCAGGACGAAAAGTTGGTCTAGGAGGAGGGCCTGGGGTCTAGGACCCGTTTGTTTCGTGCCAAAAGCGGGCGGGAGGGGACGGGGAGGAGAAGCGAAGGAGGGAGGAGGGAGGAGGGGTGCTCAGAAGAGGAGCTGAAGTCGAAGGCAAGATGTGGGTAGGACTATGCTCTTCAAGGGTGTTTCGATTCGCTTCCACTTCTAGTGCAACCCGTGAGTTCCGTCACACGGCGTACTATCAGCGCAGATGTTTCATCCGTGCGTTGGTCGGTCTTTTGTGATTACGTTCAAATTGCCTGAACATCTCACCCTGGAGTTCAAACAGCAAATTTAAGTTCATGCTGAGTTGCTGCTGCTGCTGCTGCTGCTGCGGAGGAGGAGGAGGAGGAGGAGGAGGAATGGTGGGGGGGAGGATGACAAGATGGGCGGCCGTTCAGGATGCTTCTACCGAGCTCTCCCGCACAAGACTGGTGAAGCTATCTGGGGGCCGTTTGGGAAGCAGCGCTGCATTGCAGCAGCGCTGGTGCCGCCGTGAATCTGCACGGCATGGTCGTTGCAGTCATTCCGAGGGCCTCTTGGAGGCATCTCGGGGGGGCCTCATTTTGTGGTGCCTCTTTGGAGCATCTCGGGGACCTCGCGTGGGCCTGTTGGGGTCTCGAGGGGAGCCCGCCTGGGGCAGGGCGCGAGCTAAACCGTGCTGTGGCGTAACGAAGACAGAACGGGGGGAACCGACAATAGAACGAACAACACGATTCAGCTTTGGCCCTGTTGAGGCCACTTTGCAGAACCTTTTTGGGGACCTCTCGTGGACCTCTTGGGGCTCCAGGGGAGCCTGTCCAGGGTCTCGGGGCCGTCTTTGGCGTGATCAGTTTGCCAAGCTTTGCTTCGAGGAGGCTCAGTCCAATCCTCTTGGAGCCGCGCGATCTGGAGGGCCTCCTGGAGGGCCTCCTTGGGAGTTTCTCGGTTCTCCCCAGGCTTTCTGAGGCCTTCCGAGGTTGCCAGATAGGTACTCAACACGATTCCCCAAACAGTGTTTGCACTTAGGGGTTCTTACTTCTGTTCAAAGAAACTGGGCCTGACCCTCGGTCTGGCGGCTCCGTGGCCGCCGTCGCCGCCACGTCGCCGCCTTGTCTCCGCCCGTCGTCTGGGTCTGACAGTCGGTCTGGCGGCTCCGTGGTCGCCGTCGCCGCCCCGTCGCCGCCTCGGCGCCGCCCGTCGTCTGGGCCTGCGTGGCGGTCTGGCGGCTCCGTTGTCGCTGGCGCCGCCCCGTCGCCGCCTAGATGGGCCTGCGTGGCGGTCTGGCGGCTCCGTGGTCGGCGTCGCAGCCATGTCGTCGCCTTGTTTTCGCCTGTCATCTGGGCCTGACCGTCGGTCTGGCGGCTCCGTGGTCGCCGGCGCCGCCGCGTCGTCTCCTCGTCGCCGCACCGTCGCCGCCTAGATTCTCCTTTCTAAAAAGAGAATAGACTCTACCCCCCCCGGACTTATCGGTTCCCCCTGGGATAGTATGATTTCATATATATATATATATATATTCTGCACACTCGTCCATCCTAAGTATGAGATCGTATCATCCCAGCTAGGCCGGTTTCCTCCCCCCTGAGGTTCCCTTGTGAAAACACTAAGCGGTGACATTTTTTGTTCTAACATAGCATTTTTTCACGAATCCCTTGCAAACAATGGGACAAAGTGCACACGCGCGCGTTGTCGCGCGCGCATGCCGAAGTCCTTCAAAAACCTTGGGTGTCGGAAGGATTTCGCAATCGAGAATCCTCTGCAAAAAACGGGACGAAGTGCAGACGCTCGCGTCGTCGCGGGCGTATGCCGAAAACCTTCAAAACCCATCGGTTTCGGAAGGATTTCAAAATCGTGTGTCCAAAAAACCGACAAAAACCCAAGGTTTCGCAACACGGATTTTCAACAAAAGCGTGCGCGCGCGCTCTTGCGTCCTCGTCGTCGTCGTCGTCGTCGTCGTCGTCGTCGTCGTCGCCTACGTCGTCCTCTGTCTTTCCTCGTGTTCGTCGTCGTCGTCCTCTTTGGCGTCGTGGTCGTTTCCGTCGTCGTTGTCGCCGTGGTCGTCCTTCCTCCTCCTCCTCCCACGTCGTCGTCGTCGTCCGTCGTCGGCGTCTCGTCTTCGTCCCTCTTATTTCGTCGCCGTCGTCGTCGTCGTCGTTGTCGCCATCGTCTTCCCTCCTCCCTCGTCGTTGTCGTCGTCGGCGTCGCCGTCCTTCCTCCTTCGTCGTCGTTCGCGTCGTCGCCGTCCTCCCTCCTCCCTCGTCATTGTCGTCGTTGTCGTCGTTATCGCCGTCGTCGTCCTTCCTCCTCCCTCGTCGTCGTCTTCGTTGGCGTCGTCGTCGTCGTCTTCGTCGTCGGTGGCGTCGGCGTCGTTGTCGTCGTTGAAGTCGTCGGAGACGTCGTCGGTGTCGTCCTAGTCGTTGTCGTCGGTGTCGTCGTAGTCGGTCTTAACAGGTTTTGCAAACCAAGTTGCGGGTGGGTGGGTGGGATGTTTGCGCGAGCAGTGGAGAGGACAGCTTCAAGACAGTCAAAGTGGATTGCACGGCATAGATTGCACCATGTCGGTTACACCAAATATATTCTCCTTTTTTGAAATCCCCCCCGGGTATTACCCGCCCTCTTTTCGTATTGCATTTTGCATATGATTCTGCCCCATCGTCCACCCCTAGTATGAACACATACCATCCCAGCCCAAACGGTATCGACACCCCCCGCCATCCTCTGCAACAAATGCTAAACGCGCAAACTCGTTTATCACAAATCATCAGTTTCCAAGAACCATTTTTTGCAAACATAAGACGAAGTGCGCACGCGCGCGTCGTCGCGCGCACATGCCGAAATCTCTCGAACACCTTTTTGGTGTCGTGAGGATTTTTTAAATCGAGCATCCAGAAAGCATGTAGCAACACATGGTTTCGCAACACGGGCTTTCAAACAAAAGTTTTCGCGCGCGTTCTTGCGAATACGTAAGAAATTATGATGTTTCAAGATCCCAAGACAATTCTACCAAGCGGGCTTCGCGCGTGCGCATGTCGACATCGTTCGGGCGCCCTTTCGCGCGTGTTGTCGCGAGAATCCTCTGCAACGAATGAGACGAACTGCGCGCGCGCGTCGTCGCGTGCCGCCGAAATCCGTCAAACACCTTTTTTGGTTTCCTAAGGGTTTCAAGTCCAGTGTAGCGAAACCATTTTAACACATGGTTTGCAGCATAAGGTTTAAAAAGCTTGCGCTCGCGCTCTGGCGAATCCTGTTTTCATCATTTTCGTTGGATTCTGCCCAACGCATGCCGAAGGCATTCGAACGCCTTGCGCGCGCGCTGGGGGGGGGGCACGACCCGTGTCACAAATACCATGCGGGCCACTCGCGCGTCGGCCGCGCGCGCATGTCGAACTCCCCCCAACACCTTCATCACCGACGCGGGGACGCAGTCATCGTCGTCAGCGTGATCAGCATCGGCGCCGTCACTGGCCGTGCCTTCGTCGTTGTCAGCGTCGCCACCAATACCGCTACTATCATATTCGTGTCTACTGTTGTTGGCGTTGCCAAGATACCGCGCCCGCCCAAGTTGCCGACTCGCACTGAGGTGCCCGCTTGGATGCGCCCGGCGGTCGCCGCCACCACCGCCGCGTCGGTCGCGCCAAACTAGTTGGCCGCCGTGTTCAAGTGCATGTGCGGGCTGGCACGGCCGCGGATATGCACCAGCCAACACCAGACATTCATGGCAATCGCCGCCGCTCCTGCTTTGTAAGGCAAGTTGCAGGTGTGCGGGTGGGGTGATTGCGAGCGCCGTGGAATATGTTACCCAGCGTGGACCCCAGACAGTGTGCTCTATGTTGTACATATACGTACGAATATACATGTGGTGCGTAACCACTATGTGTACATGTGGTGTGCAAAACACGTCGTGCAATACAGGTTGGGCAACCGACGTTACGCAATAAGCGTGAACCAAGTTATGTGTTGCAATTTATGTTGTGTAATTGATTTTTACCCATGATGTGACACACCCCGCGCTCTTGCAAACATCCCACCCACCCACCCGCAACTTGGTTTGCAAAACCTGCTAAGACCGACCACGGCGACACCGACGACAACGATTACGACGACACCGACGACGTCTCCGACGACTTCGACGACGACAACGACGCCGACGACGACGAAGACGACGACGACGCCAACGAAGACGACGACGAGGGAGGAGGACGGACGACGACGGCGACAACGACGACAACGACGACAACGACGAGGGAGGAGGGAGGACGGCGACGACGCGAACGACGAAGAAGGAGGAAGGACGGCGACGCTGACGACGACAACGACGAGGGAGGAGGGAAGATGACGACGACAACGGCGACGACGACGACGGCGACGAAATAAGAGGGACGAAGACGAGACGCCGACGACGGACGATGATGACGACGAGGGAGGAGGAGGAAGGACGACCACGGCGACAACGACGACGGAAACGACCACGACTCCAAAGAGGACGACGACGACGAACACGAAGAAACACAGAGGACGACGTAGGCGACGACGACGACGACGACGCGGGAGGAGGGAGGACGCGACGACGACGACGACGACGACGACGCAAGAGCGCGCGCGCACGCTTTTGTTGAAAATCCGTGTTGCGAAACCTTGGTTTTTTGTAGGTTTTTTGGACACACGATTTTGAAATCCTTCCGAAACCGATGGGTTTTGAAGGATTTCGGCATACGCGCGCGACGACGCGCGCGTCTGCACTTCGTCCCATCTTTTGCAGAGGATTCTCGCGACGGCACACGCGCAAGGGCGTTCGACAGATTTCGACATGCGCGCGCGCGAAGTCCGTTTAATAGCAT